GATCTAATAAATATATATATATATATATATATATATATACGTATAAATTTGTAAATATAAATATTATGTAATGCATATTATAAAATGAATAATGATATATCTGTGTATGTGACCTGTGTTGGTCGGCTTTAACAAAGCTTTTCTTTTTACTTTTCCTTAAATCATTTCAATTTTGGAACACAAGACCATGCACTTTATAATTAACAGAATATCAAATTGCCATTAATTCTCCAGAGCTCAAACCTACTTCTCCTTCATATTTAATTTAAGGTGACTTCCTCAGCACAGGTCTTTATGTGGACATTCAGACATTGTAATTCAATTGTACAGTGAACAGTTTGTGCTAATTAATGAACATCAGACCGGCACACTGTACAGCTCTGCCTTCAGGCTACTTTAAAGCTGTTATTCAAAACATCTTTAATTGAATATTCAGAGTAGGGCTGCACGATAAATCGCATGCGATATTTAACGCGCATCTTGTCAGAAAAAAAATCGCGCGAATATGAACGTGGTTTTGCGCAGCTCGTCAGCGAACAACGGCTCTGTTTAGTTAATGCTGCTCAATGTGAAAGCACGCAGGTGATGGAGATTTACCGCTGATTACAGAACCGGCTTTCTGACAAGATGCGCGTTAAATATCGCATGCGATTTATCGTGCAGCCCTAATTCAGAGTAAAGTATGTGAACCTCAGTTCTTTTGGGATATTCTGCCTTATGTCACTGAATAGGGAACATATTATATACTAATACTGATTCATGTACTTACTTCAATTAACATGACTGTCTACAATTAGCTCAGTTTACCTGAATCCTCCCTGTGTATAGTTTGATAAATCTCTAGGTTCATAGCTGTGCCTTGGCCTGCTTTGCAGCCTGGTAATTTCCTGCTTTTTATGTACACTTTAAAGCATAAGGCATCATTCTTTGGGCCCATAGCTGGACACCCTCAAGACTTTATGCCTTGCCCTGAGGCTGAGATGATAATGTGTGGTGGAGATGGCCATCTCTGAGCTAGTGTTGTGCTAATGTGATCTTTTCTCCTCTCCTTCCAGTTAGCACAAAAGAAGAATCGGAGAAGAAAAGGAAGAGACGGCTGTGGTTTCTGTAGGTAATGTGCTTTTTGTTCTTGCTAATCTTATCAGCATTAGTATAGTGTTGTTCATGTCGCACTACAACCCTCAAGATACACAGTGCAATTGTATTGTAGATCTTTTAAGAAACTGCAAAGAGAAACCGCTTTTCTAAGAATTTAAGATAAAGCTATACCTTGAACTCACTCTATAATATTTCAACTGATATCATCAGTCCATCAATCACAGAGCAGAATTTGTTCTCATAGCATGGTATCGCTCGCTCTCAATTCTCTACAGTTTTGTGTGAATTTAGGGCAAATTACCAGATATGAGTCACTATACTAAGCAGATTTTTCTTCTTTTTTTCTTTTTTTCTCTTTTTTTTTAATAGTAGTAGCTGTACTTCTTTTCTTTAAATGATTAGCCATATAGATTGGCTTTACAGAGAACAGGATTATGTAAAATCATAATGTTTGTCTGTGTGCACATTACAGTAATCTCTTGTATAATTACAAATTAAAAGCTGTAAAATGATGTTCAGAGTAATGGGCTGGCACTACGGTTTCCAACATGCACTGCAACTTGATTGATTGAATGATTGAATGATTGAATGATTGACTGTTTGCTAGTTTATTATGTGGTTACTGTTGTTGCTTTTGTTTTACGTACTTGTTTCACACAGAAACAAGAACGAAGAAGAATAATGCTTTAATATCATGAAATTTAAGTTTTTGAATTGGGCTGGGCGATGTATATCTTAATGATGGTTAAAAAGTATTACAATAATAATAATAATAAACAAAACAAGCACTGTACATTTCATTTAAAAAATTGGTTACAAACAATTTACAGAAAAAGTATTTCATTAACTGAAGTAATATTAATACTCAATATACTAATATACTAAATTCCTAAAATCTGTTTAATATTAATACTTAATATACTAATATACTAAATTCCTAAAATCTGTTTAAAAACCTTCATAATATAGAACTTTGACAACCACTTTTTCACAGTAAATTAGGGAATGATTTGTTTTTTTTTTCACTTCCAATAATTGTACATTTAGCGGTAATGTCCCATTAGATCTATTACAGTTTTTACCATATAAAGTAAAGGCACTTGACATCTTAACCATTTAACAGATTTTTACCATAGCATTTTTACAATCTTTTAGTGTTAAAATTACGATCAATTTTTACAGTGTAGGCTAGTATTAGGATTTGCTGTGGTATTAAAATTGGTACTGAGAATTCTGAAATGTAAACTAAATTTCTGGTATTCTAGTGACATTTTTTTTTAAATGAATAAATTCAAATAATTTAAAAAAGAATACACCGCATACAGATTGATTGAACAATAATTTTCTTTTCATATGAGTTGTTCCAGCTTAATGACAGACAGTTATGACAGAAAATGACCTAAAATGCATTGATGTACAGTAAAAGTCTGACTACAGCATTTTATTATGAGAAGTTTCTGTTAAATCCTTGCAATCTCTCTAATGCCATCATTGAGACTCCCGGCTGATTCATCCAAGTTAAGTACCCAACTCCAGTTTACAATCTGAGGTGTTAGGGATGTCTGAAGCAACTAGTAATTAATGCTTCCACTGCTACTTTGCTGAGCTGTGTGTGTTCCTCTCTCCCTCATGATGAATGGAGCCTGGACCCTGTCCCAGCTGTCATCTGTGATTGATGCACTGTGCTTGTCTTCGTTCGGGTTTCTTGTGCTCGGTACCTCCCTTCCCCCATCCGATCTTCAGCCTCATCCTATTAGCCACAGTATTAATCACCGCCAGTGCTGCTAATTGCTTTATAATCCCACCCCTGAGCCATACAATGTGTTGAGAGAAGTCACCTCTGAATCCTATCACTTTCCCTGCCATCTCCATATCTCTGGCTCCACCATGCTCGGTTTTGATAGCAGTGTATTACCCGCGATTCCCTTCCTACCCTAATCCTCTCCCGATTTCCTCAACAGATAATCTAACCAAGTCACTCACCGTAAAAACTGCAACGCCGTACCCATGCTGATGTAAGAGACAAAGGGCCTGGTCGGATTTGTCAGGATGGTCATTCAGAGGATAGGAGGCAAGCGGAGGTCGACCTCGAGCACTAAGCCTAAGCCCTTTTGCTCATTCCTGAGAGTGAAATCTCAATCAGATTTCGGTTTGCTCCGTATCGCTGATTAGTCTAGGTCAGAATTTCTCAATACATTCCTACAGGCCCACCCACACCACACGTTTTAGGGGTCTGACTAATCAAACACACCCAATTTAGTTCATAGACTCAAGGGGGTCTCTGTAGAGTGACTAATGAACTGAATCAGGTGTGCTAAAAATTGGGAGATATCCTAAATGCATCCGTTGGGGCTTGAGAAGCCCTGGTCTAGGTCATTCAAGCATTTTCACAGAACCTAAGGGGGTATTTGACGTTCACGCTTCATTCCAGATGTGGCTTTGGGTAACTATACCGTCATGAGAGAAGACACAGTGCATTGAGCTTGGAAATGGAGGATTATGGGGAATAAACTCAAGCTTGAGCAATTGGCTCAACCAGGCAACCCTACGGTCACGCTTTGATATTTTTATTTATTGCCTCCCTCAGCGATAGATGACATCTTTTCTCTTTCTGAGAGTCAGTGAGCATAAATTCTCCAGAAAGCTAAGGCACCTTGTTGGGCGCTCCTTGTCGACAGGATAGATTGACAAGCCACTCAAGCGGCCCTCGCTAATCAGAACTCCCATGTGGAGAGCAAAGCCCTGGGAAACTCATTTAAAGTTGTCGGACATATTGTTATTCAAAGCACATCAACTTCAATAGAGAACAATCAGGAGAAATATGAGAAAAATCAGTCCATCTGTGAAAATAATCAACATGCTGGCCTTCTCAACTTGTCTTTCATCTGTCTGTATCCAGTCATCTGATTATGGATTGAAATAATTTAGAGATGAGAGGTCCGGTAATGGAGGTGAAGACCATTCTGGAGATATTTGGATATTTGGAGCTTTTACAGTGCTGTTAGCATGCTACATCTCGCCATCGGTGCTATAACAAGGCGTATATCACCCCTCTCTAGAGTGCATTAGGGGCACTTTGTGCAGGCTTTTAGTACCCCCATTCTGCAAGCAACTCTCTTCCCTCTCTTTACTTGCTCTCCCTCTCTTTTGCCACACTTTAAACAGCATATTACCATCGCTAGCCCGTCTCCCTCATTTTCTCGACAGATAAGGATGCTTTTTTCAGGCCTGTTCCTAACAGCACAGGCTATGCCCAATGTTCCTCTTTTAATCCATCACATTATACTATTTAATTTCTTCTCTAATTCGTTAATCAGCGAAGCGCCCAAGCTGATATGACCGTAGTCATACCAGAAGCAATTTCACATCTCCGGTTCGTCTCTCGATTTCTGCCCGGTGAATTCTCAGATTGTTCCTTTAATAACCTTGTCATGGATGTATCACAGCTTTTGGCACATGACTCACATTAATGCGTCGGCCCATTAAGAGGAAATTAAGGGACAGACTTCTGCATAGGACTGTCTTATCAACAGCTGACAGATGGACATGCCAGAGAGACATGCCATGAGGGTATTTAGATGCAGCAGCGCATGCTGGAGAGTTAATCCTGTTGTGTGACCTCTAATAAGAAATTAGACATGAAATGCTGTAACAGTAAGTAGGATTATTAACAAGAAAAAGTGTTATGTTTTCAGAAAAATTGCATATGATGTCTCAACTAGCAAAAATATTACAAACCTGAACTTTGAGGCTGAATTAGCATATCTTGCTCTGAGCAACGTTTTATGCAGGACTAATAATAGTATACTATGAAGCATAGTTTACACCCAAGGAGTTTAAAGGGGACTGTGGTAGGTCTTTCACAAATGAAAGTTGCCTTATGGTTTTTCACACCATCTGGGGTTTCTAGCGTGCCACACTCTACATCAAATATGACATCTCTTACTAAAGGTGCTCAGACTATTGATAGAGGTGGGAGGAAGTGGCATTGGGCATTTGCAGTCATATCACAGTTCCACACTAATCCATACATTGCAGCACAGCAAAATGGTACAATATTAATGTATAACAATACAGTGTTAATATATTAATAATAGAGTAATATATATGAATACAGTATAAAATATAATATGATATAATATAATTTATATTTTAAATTTTTCCATTATATATTGTAATTTATTGTAAAAGTAATTTATTATTTTGATTGCAAAGCTGAATTTTCAGCAGCCATTACTTCAGTCTTTAGTGTCACATGATCCTTCAGAAATCATTTTAATATGATGATTTGGTGATGAAGAAACTTTTTTTTTTATTATCAGTGTTGAAAACAGTTGTGCTGCCTAATATTGTGACCTGTATGTATGTATAATATTGTAGGAAACGACAGCATTTATTCATGTCTTTACTGTCACTTTCGATCAGTTTAGTGCATCCTTGCTTAATAAAAAAATTTATTAAAAAAATTAAACCTGCAAGCAGCGTTGAAAGGGCCCTAGCACCCGGAGCCACCTCCACCCGGTGGCCTTAGGAAAACAGTGAATGGTGGGCAATATGCATTTAAAGTGGTAAATATAGGAGGAAAATGTCAAAGTAATTTATATGTGCCAAACTTCCTGCTGCCAGCTGGTGGGGTTATGACTATAACTGAATATTGCCATGTGGATGTCTTCAGGCCAGGACTTTTATCAAACACATGAAGTTTGGTGCAGATTGAACATATGTTTGAGTTAGTTTAAAGCATGACATATCCTGTTGCCAACAGGTGGCGCTATGATTATAATTGAATATTGGCCTTCAGATGTGTTCAGGCCAAGACTCTTATCAAACGTGTGAAGTTTAGGGCAGATCGGACATTGTATGGCTGAGTTACAACAATGTCATTTTTCGTGGCGAAACACCAAAATTTGTCAGGCCGCCCTTCGACGAAAACTCAAGATCTTCACAATTTAGCATCGCAAAGGCCTTATGATTACACTCACCAAATTTGAAGATGACTGACTTGCTGTTGCA